CTGAGTCCTGGTTCCATCTTATGTAGCACTGGATAATAATATAGCGACCCATGACTTCCAAGCACAATTTGTGCCCGAGGCCTTGAGGTAACTTGGGTTGTCCCCTGAAGGTTCAGGCTCCTCTATACAGTCTTCAGAGTCTCTCTCCTGGGCACAGGCAGATCTCAGTGTCTATATAGAGACCTTGGCCCAGGATTTCTTGGTGAATTCCATGCAGGAAGGGATGTTGTAATGTTCCTTCCAGATTCTTTAAGGGTTCAGTCTGTGTCTGAGGCCATCTGGATGCACAAGTGGCCAGCAATTAGGTCATAACTCAAGACTGGTTATAAGTTAAAACTAAAATTTTGGTCTTAACGCAAGTTGTTTGTATGTCAGGCCAGTCATAATTTGAGGGCCCACTGTAGTATCTTTATGCTGGGATACCTGTGAGGAGCTCAAAATGATTTCAGGTACAGGATAGCAAATACATACAGAGTGTTGCTGTTTAATACTGTTGTTCTTATTAATGGGATCAGGAACTCTAACTGGCTGGGATGGGGGGGAGGGGTCTCAGCTTTTCTGACTCTAAAACCAGTGCTCAACCCAAAGAAGGGTTCCAGGAGGCCCCCAGCAGGTGCTCCACTCCTGCAGGCAGGTGGGATCTGATGGCCAGGGCCCCCTATCCTCTCCTTCCTCTACTCCTTTCCGTCCTGGCTGTCCTGTCCCAGTGGCTGTTGATGTCCGCTTTCCAGTGCAAACTCCTGCCCAGACCCTGCTGCAAGGCCTGAAACATGTCTTTCTAGAGAAACTCACAGTCAGGCTGGCCTCTACCGCAGGCTCGCCTGCAGATGGTTCGCCCCCTGGGCTACGACACCTATGGGTTTGGCAGTGGGTCTGGCCAACAGCTGCCCTGTGTTGCATCCAGGGCCCTGCGGTCCCCTTCCAGGCATGAGTGTGACAGAACCAGGGTTGGCCAAGCCCATGGCCCTGGGACTGTCCTGAGCGGGATGGGTCCCAGCTGTTTCTAACCTTGCATGGACCCTGAGAAGAGAGGGGGTGTTTCCGTACCTCAGTCTCTTCATCTGTGAAATGGAGACAATAGGAAATGACCTGGTTCCTAGTAACCTCTTAGGGCTGGAAGATGTCACCTAGCACTGTTTCTGACTCAGGTGAGACTCAATTTGGGGGAACCTAGGTGAAGCCGGGGTTCCAGTATTTTTAGCTTGTTCCCTGGGCATTTGCTCCACCCCCATGAGTCAGCCAGGACCCACTGGCCTGATGTCTGCCTTGACAAGCACATGACATACTTAGCTGTCCCCAAATGCCTCTTCGGTGCTGCCCTGGGCACCAGGCAGATGAGACTCTGCCCACACCCACAGCTTTTCTGTGAGTCATCACAACATCCTGACAAGCTACTATTCTTAGCTTCTTTTACCAAAGGGAAATGGGTTCAGAGAGGGGAAATGACTGGCCCGAGGTCACACAGCTAGAGAACCGTACAGGCACCTGTGCACCCCGTGTGCCTGGCCTTGTGGCAAGGAGGCCTCGCAGGACACAGGAGGAGTGCAGGTGCCTTGGCAGCAGAGAGGGCTGTCGCATGTTGGAACCATAGCCTCGGCTAAGGGCAGCAGCAAGCCTGGCCCTTGTCCGCTGCCCCAGCACAGGAGCCTGGCAAGAGGGAGAAGCTCACAGCCGCTCCTCTCTCTCCCCCTCACCCACAAGTCTCCTGGTCAGAATCCAGAGCCATCTGGAAAGCGCTGGCCCTGGCTGATGGCAGGCACAGGGTGAAGGCCACATCCCTGCTCCTCTCCCTCTGAACTTCCACGGAAACTGAAAGTAGAGCCCAAGTCCTGTGGGGGCCTGGGGATCCTTTACTGGGGCTCTCACCTTTTACTTACTTTTTCCCACTCCAAGAAAACGTCCTGTTTATAGTAAACAGAAAGCGCACATAACGGGAAGGGGGAAGAGGCTCAGCACCCGAGGAGCCTCCTCCCAGCCCCCTTGTGCTTTGCCTGGCAGGGCTGAGCTCAGTCTTGAGATGCCAGCAAGATCCTGTATTTTCACCTACTGTTGCAACACCACCCCTTGTCCCAGTAAACAGTTTTGGCATGAATGAGGTCCTCCCAGGACCTTGACCTGCACTGTGACCCTCTAGGGTCACTTACTTTCTCATCTATTGGAATGATAAGGACTCCCAGCCGTGCAGGCAAGGCAGGGACAGGGCAGCTAGACAGGGCAGCATGGCCTTCCAGGTGGAGGGAGCAGGCTAGGCCAATGCCCCCGAGCTAGCAGCAGCATGGAGGGCAGTGTGGCTGGGCCAAAGTGTGCAAGGAGTGACCTGGGGCCAGGCCCTTCAGGGTCAAGAGCACAGCCAGGGGTCTGGTCCTGGCCTCCCGGTCCCTGAGAAGCCATTGACGATTTATCAGAAGAGTGCTGAGGTCATGTTGCATCCTAGAGTGGTGAGAGTGGACATGGTGGGATGTAGTGTAACCTCCAAGGTGGAAGCCACTGTCCAGGCAAAAGGGCTGCACCTGCCCATACAGCATGGCCAGTGGGTACACTGCTCCCTGGGTGCAGGTTGGGCTACAGAGGCCTGGGGCAGGCACTGGTCTGCAGGGCCTCAGCTGGTGTGCTGACCTCTCCCTCCTCCCCCAGTGCTGCGGTGCCTTGGTGTTCCTACCCGAGTTGTGACCAACTATAACTCAGCCCATGACCAGAACAGCAACCTGCTCATCGAGTACTTCCGCAACGAATTCGGGGAGATCGAGGGGAACAAGAGCGAGATGATCTGGTGAGGTGGGGCCTAGGAGCAATCTGGGCTACAGAGGTCCCTGGGGAGAGGACAGCTGGGAAAGCTGCATGAAGGAGGTCACACTTGCATGAGACAGTGGAGCAGTGTTTGGGCAGGGACTGGGCCAGAGGCCTTCGCAAAGGCCTAGGGGAGGAAAACTCACAGCAGCCCTGGACTGACACTGAGAGAATCAGACCGGGAGGGGCCCTGGGCAGGTTTCCAAGGATGCTGGGCTGTCACCTATGGCTTCATTGCTGGCTACTGTGGACAGCAGGAAGTAGGGACCAGGCCTATGGGCAGGCAAAAAAGGGGGCCAAGGGGGTCCAGGCTGGGAGCCACTGTAAGAGGCGGGAGGTGGGTGAGAATTCTCTGCTCTGGAGGAGAAGGCCCTAGTGCTGGGTGGTGCTGTGCCTGGGCCAACTTCAGATGAGGTGAACACACCTCTTGGGGCACTAGGTGGGCCACCTGAGGGGTCACAGTGAAAGTTGTCCATGTTCTGCCTGGTTTTCCTGATAGGAACTTCCACTGCTGGGTGGAGTCGTGGATGACCAGGCCGGACCTGGAGCCTGGGTACGAGGGGTGGCAGGCCCTGGACCCCACACCCCAGGAGAAGAGCGAAGGTGGGTGGGCATGGCCCTGTCACCTGGAGAGGGGCTGGAGCTGGGGAGTCTCAGGGATTCACCAGGGAGTGGGTGAACAGATTCCAAGCCAAAGACCATGGGCCAGACTGTGTGTATATGCATGTGTGTGCGTCTGTGTTCACACACGTGTGTTCACCTACAGTTTCATAGTGTACTGTTTTTATACTTTGAAAAGTAATGCACACTCAGTGTGGGAAATGGAAAATATGAAGAAGCATAAAGGAAAAAATTCAATGACTTCTCCATCTTCCCCCTAAAATCAGACTCATTTTAATTTCTTTTTTTAAATGTATTTAGTACAGGGTCTATAGGGTCTCACTACATGGATTGAACGCATAGTGATTCTCCCGTTTTTCAGCCTCCCAAGTGCTGGGATTATAGGCGTGCACCACCACACCCAGGCTCAGTCGCTGTCTCAGTGCGCTCCTGGGGTGGACTCATTTTAATTTCCACACAGATTCCAGAAATTTCAGCTTAGATATCAGAATGTGTGTTTAGACAGAACAAGGGCAAAATCTGCTAAAGTACATGGAGGCTTTCTCTTTATATTTTTAAATATATAGAAAAAAATGCGTAAAATTCTCCAAAGAAAACCAAAGTTAATAACTTTCAACAAAAGTTTTAAAAAGTCTGTGCATGGTAGCACATACCTATAATCGCAGCACTTTGGGAGGCTGGGGCAGAATGATCACAAATTCAGGCCCAATCTGTGTAACTTAGTGACTGGCAGAATTTTTTTTTAAGTTTCTTTGTAAGAGTAGGAGATACAGCTCAGGGTGAAGGTCCTGAGTTCAGTCCCCGGTACTGACTGAAAAAGTAATCTAAAAAGTTCAGGTATGATACACAATACATGCTTGCCTTTTTATAAAAGAAGCTCCAGGTAGGGTTCTAAGTTCCAGCAGGGGTGGAGATGAGCCTGTGTGACATGGCCTGCAGAAATGCCTGTGACTTGTATGGGCACAGGTTGTAAGTGCTCCTAGGCCGCAGCCTGTGTTGCCTGCTTTTGTAACTGAAAGGCAGGGCTGTGTCAGAGTGTAGTGGGTTAAAAGTATCGCTTTTTCCCCATCCAAGTTCATAGACCCCCAAATCCTGCAGGTAGCAGTACCCTGTGGGTCCCTGCATGAGGGTCAGCAGTGGGCCTTTTCTCTGCCCCACCCACGCCTGACTGCATGGTCAGCATTTCCCCTTCAGATGGTTTTCTCTGACTTGAATTCCACTTCCTGTCACTGCATCCCATCTCGAGGATGCGCTGGACTACATTTGCCAAGCCTCTAGTCTCCACCATGGCGCTGGGGCAGTGTGAGGCTGTCACAAACCACTCTTCGGTAAACATCCGGCTTGGGGCTCCCTGCAGCCAAGCTGGGTGGGGCACTGACTTCAGCCCCCTCACAACAGCTGCCTGCTCCTGGACTCTGAGGTTTCTGTAGGGTGCCTTGGGACAGGCTTCTATTTTATTTATCCCGTATTTGCAGTGCATGGAGAGTGTGCTCAAAACTTTCCATCTGTAGCTTGAGTTCTGAAGAAAGTCCAGGCATTAACCCTAAGGGAAACTACAGCTCAGAGAAGTGACTATCTGCCCTGAAGCCACACAGCTTGTAGGGGTCTGAACTAAGACTGAACCCCAAATGTCCTGGCCTCTAGTTTCCTCTTCTGACCCCAGGTACCCTCTGGGATTGGAGTCCCCAAGGCAGAGGGCTGCCTGGGCTTCAGGTTTTCTGCCTTGTGTGGTTGAATCACGCATTTGTTGATGCCACTGTTCCCACAGCCCTGACCCTCCGCTCCCTCCTACCCCCAAACAGGGACGTACTGCTGTGGCCCAGTCCCGGTTCGTGCCATCAAGGAGGGTGACCTGAGCACCAAGTATGACGCCCCTTTCGTGTTTGCGGAGGTCAACGCTGACGTGGTGGACTGGATCCGGCAGGAGGATGGGTCCATGCACAAGTCTGTCAACCATTCCCTGGTCGTGGGGCAGAAGATCAGCACTAAGAGCGTGGGCCGAGATGAGCGGGAGGACATTACGTACACCTACAAGTACCCAGAGGGTAGGCGCCGCGCAGGGCTTTGCATGTGCACGTGTATATGTGTGTGTGTGCGAGCACAAGTGCTCATGGGGGAGAGAGATCCGGCCACCAATGCATGCCAGTGACCTTCCTGTGACATCCTGTTTTACGAAACTGCTCAGAAACAAGTGTAAAGATGTTGGGGACAGTAATAGAGGATGATTCGTTTTGGAAACGCTTTCTGTCGCAATTCACAGGAGGACTCTATCTGTTGTTTGAAGCCTCACTTATCTGCTTGGCTGGACTCTTAATAAAACTGAAGGGACAGCTGATACGCAGCAGGGCCAGGCATCCCACAGCGCTGTTGCTAATGTCGCAGTTGCATCGGTTTCCAGCATTTTTGGCACCAGGGACTGGGGTCATGGAAGATGGTTTACCCAAAGACTGGAGGAAAGGTGTTTTCAGGATCATTCAAAGGACAGCGCAGGACCAGTGAGATAGCTCAGCCGACTAAGGCAAGCACAGGGAACCGGGTTCGATCCCTGGCACCACATGTTGCGCTGGTCCAGTTCCTGGGTGCACTGAGCTGGCAGACCGGACGTGGTGGTGCACACCTGTAATCCCAGTGCTGGGGAGGCTGAAAACAGGAGTATTATGATGAGTTAGAGCTGTGTAGTGAGACTGTGTACCAAATACATAAAAGGACAGTGCAATCGAGGTCCTGGAATGCAGTTTGCAGTAGGGTCCCCACTTCCGTGAGCTCCCATGAGAACTAGTACTGCGGCTGACCTGACAGGAGCAGGAGCTCTGGGGGAACCCCGCTGCGGGGGCAGATGGAGCTTCACTTCCCACCTGCCGTGCACCCCGGCAGGCCACAGACCCAGTATGGAGTTGGGGCTCCCTGCCTGTTTTTTTTTTTTTAACATATTGACAAGGGGGGCAGGACCCACAACTCTAGATGGACAATTCTGCACTTTTTTAAATTGCAATGTGCTTGAAAGTCCTGAGAGGTCACAGGGGAGACTTTCCTGGAAATTGGCAGTGTTTATTTTCACAGCACTTGACACACAGCTGGGGAAGTGAGCACAGAGGAGGAAGGGGAAGAGTGAAGTTGTGGAGAAATGGGCCAAGGGAAACTGCACACTGACCAGATAGGTTCAGTCTGACACAGGGTGAGGCTCCCCTCGGCTCCTCATACTCAAATCAGCAGGAGAAAGGAACTCGTAAAAATTGGACGGAGCACATCCACCAGCCTGCTTACTATGACAGGGATTTCTTAAGTGTCCCCTGTGAGCCAGGCCTGCCTGCGCTCACAGGGACCTAAGAAATTCTACTCCCTGCCCTGGCCTGACCCTCACTGGCTTTGCACAGCTGACCGAGGGCTTCACTGGAAAGGATGATCAGAAGAGGCTGTCCCTGGCCTTTGAGGTGTAGAGCTCATGGTTTGATAGAAAAATAGACATGGTCCTAACACCACTGGTGCAGGGGATGTAAGGCACATAGGAAAGGCCGACAGAGTATAAAGGAGGAAGCAGCCATTTCCACTGGAAAGCTGGACAGGTAGAGAAGCGGGGAGGGATTTCAAGTAGAAATAATCCCTGTGCGAACAGTTGTAGGGGAGAACATTTGCACTGTAGTCATGTCCAGGGTGCACCAAGAATGAAAGACACTAGGTTGGATGTAATGGCAAAGGAAACAATCATGGAGCAGCTCATGGGATAAGCATGTAGACATAAAATAACTTGGGGAAGGAGCCAGCAGAGAAACTTGGAAGAGGAGTCAGTTGGAGCTGGGTTTTGAGGGTTGAGTAGATGTTCACTTATGGAAAATAAATAAGATCCACTTTTCTCCTCCTGGTACAAACATGTAGAGGAAGGACTCCTTGATTGCTGCTGTATTCTAGCTGTGATTGTGGCTCTTGTCCCTGTCCTTGCAGGGTCTGAAGAGGAGAGGGAAGCTTTCACGAGGGCCAACCACCTGAATAAACTGGAGAAGGAGGAGGCTAAGGAGGAAACAGGGGTGGACATGCGCATCCGTGTGGGCCAGAGCATGAATATGGGCAGTGACTTCGACGTCTTCGCCTACATTACCAACGGCACTGCGGAGAGCCGTGAATGCCGCCTCCTACTCTGTGCACGCACTGTCAGCTACAATGGGGTCCTGGGGCCCGAGTGCGGCACCAAGGACCTGCCAGACCTGACCCTGGATCCCTTTTCAGGTAAGTCTGCCTGTGCCGGGCATCAGCTGGCCCCGAGTTAGGTGGCGCCCCGAGTACCCAGCGTGGCTCACCATGTTCCAGGCATTCATGGGGCTCTTCATTGGCCCAGGCCACACGCTGAGTGCTTCCTAAGTCTCCACCTATTTCTTCTAACGAGAATGAGGGAAAAGATGTGCGAAAGATAAAGTAGCTGTACTGGGGTCACGTAGAAAGTGACAGGACTGTGCCTACAACCCTAACTGTATTCTTTTATGTCTTTGTTTGCATTTATCTTCTGGGGACCCCTGCCGACTCTCCCAGATACTCCACCCCCTTCCCTTGGCCAATTCCTCTGCTTGGCTTCCGGCTCCCCCACCTCAGGTGCTTCCCTCTGCCCCCTAACACTCCTGGCTTCAGAGAAAGGAGCATCTAGCTGGGCACTACCCATAGAACTTCTGGCCAGGGTGGAGGGCTCCACCGCTGTGCTGTCCAGGGTGGCAGCCCCCAGTGCCAGGCGGCTGCTGAGCTCCTAGAACAGGCCTCCTGTAACTGCAGAGCGGAAGCAGGAGGTATTGCAGGTTAGGTAGCCCCTTGGCCAGAAGCTGCGGTATTGGACAGAGCAGGCCAGGAGCACAAGGAGAGGATACGTGGTCTCTGAGGCAGAGGAGAGCCCCTCTCCTGGGGAACAGTGGCGTCAGACCATCCAGTCGAGCCCCATCCTGAGCAGTGTCCTTGTCACACAGGCTCCCTGGCCCAGGTCTGCACAGTTGTCCCCTTGAGCGCCTAGGCTCTCTGGCATTATCACTGTGTCTGGTTGTCCTCCTGAAGTTATTTTTGGCCCTGCAGTCACATGGGGAGGTGGCACAGAGCCCGGCCTAAGCCCAGTGCCTGCTGACACTCCCAGCGGCCCCATCTCATTTTCTCCAGCTGAGAGGCCGAAGCCATAAGCAGGAGAAGAGCAGAGGGTCTTGGAGCTGGGAGCTGCTCTGAGAGTTGCCATGTAAGGCCCTGGCCATCCTCTAAGGGGCAGTGTGACTAAGTGGAGTGTCATCCCTGTCACTGGGCAAAGGGCCACCTCTCCGCAACTCAGTGTCCCAAGCAGACTTGTGGGGAGTGTGCCCTGACAGAGTAGGTTGTGTCTGCAGCAGGTCCCCAGTATGACACAGTCAGGGACAGGGGCAGGGTGGGTGTGCTCCATGTGCATGGCCTCTACCACCCTGCGTCATCCTCCCCACCGCCTGTCACCCAGTACTCCTCTGTTCTCCCTCTGCCCAAAGCCTGGCTCCCTAAGAAGGCAGCCCATGTTGGGGCCATGCCCAGCAGTGTGGAGAGCAGTATCTCTTCTATCCTGGGTCCCACTTTCTGGTGGCCCTATGCTTGGGCCCAGCCAGCCCTTGCCTCTGCAGGGGCTGTGGCACTGTGCTTCTGTTCAAGGGTGTATCTAAAGCCAGCAGACTTGTGACTTATTCCCCGGCTGCCTTCTAATGCCCAGCACAAGCAAGAGAACCTGCCTTTGAGCCTCTGTTATATCATCTCTGAATGGGGCCACAACCCACGGCCCCTGCTAGCCCTGTGAGGCCTCAGGGAGCAGATGTGGCCATGGGAGACATCTGGAGGGTGTGAGACTTGCAGATATGGTGGGGCCCTTGCTCCTCTCTGAGCAGAAGTTCAGGGAGGCAGAGAAACCAAGGACCTTCCCTGTTGCCTGCTGGGCCGCACACTGGTGTGTGCTCTGGGCTCAACGACTTCTGATCTCCACCACTTTGATGACATGAAAAAGACCCAGTGGTCTCTGCATCCAGAGCCCAAGAGCCAGGACTGTCAGGGATGTGCTCGGCAGAGGACCTCTCTACCTGGGGACCCCTGAAGGACACAGGCTGCGGGGAGAGGGGCAAAGGGCTGTGTGTTGCTCTCTAGCTGGAGGTGGAGCCAGTCCAGCATGCCTTGTCCAGTTCTCCAGAGCCAAGGTCAATCTGACCAGCCCCCTTTCACCCTCCACACTTTGGCTGTATTGCTTGATGTTCTTTGATGATAAGATCGGGGATTTCCACAGGCTAATGGACGGGAAGCCAGGCCCAGGACAGGGAACAGGATCTACTCATCCCCCAGCCCTGCCTGTGTTCCACAGTTTCTCTCTCTTCTCCTTCCTGCCTCCGCCTTCCTTCTCTTTCCTCCCTTACCCCTTCAGGTGGGTCACTGGGACAGCAGCCAGTATGGCCTCAGGGATCACCCCTGGCCCACTTCTAGAACAAGAAATATTGTCTGATTAATAATTGAGACTGGCCACAGATGTGCCACCCCCCCCAACCCCAGCATATGGCCCAAGGCCAAGGCTGTGATCACCTGCCTGTGAATGGCCTCTCCTCAAGGTCCAGCCCTGGCCTGGCATCTACCTCCTGGAAAAGCCCATGGTGAGGCCACATCCTCCAGGATCCTGAAGTACAATGTTTCCCTTCTTTCCTGTGTGGCTGCTCAGAGTTTCCACTCCTCTCCACCACGTCCTGAACTTAGTCAGGTTCACTCCCCTTTCTTTTTGGCTCAGAAGTCTACTTTTCTCCCCCGCATCACGTCATTCGATCAGAGGCAGAGCATATCCACCCGGAATGAAGATTGGAAGCCAGGATGGCACTTTCCAGAGTAGGCTGCGGTCCCCAGCTTTCAGGCAGGCCTGGACCTCAAGTCCCATGTGACTGTCCTTGTGGTCCCAGTCCCGTCCCCAGAGGACGTGGTGAGAAGTCTCAGCAAGTGCTGATTGGCTTCTGGCATCCCTAACCCTTACTCAGCTCGCATTCATTGAGTTATTCAGGGCTCAGACTTAGCGCCCCAGCAGCTAACATTGTCTGGCCAGAATGGAGTAAGCACAACTTTTCTTACTTGTAATTATTTTTTTACTAAGGATCCGCTATTTATGATGAGACTCGTTGACTGTAAATAAATGATGAAAATGTTCACCCAGGGGGAAACAAAGTTAAAAACTACAAAGCAAATCGATTTAAAGAAAACGAACACACATATGAGATGGACATAGAAGCATGACAAATTGTATCTGGCTAGGGTTTCTAAGTAGTTGGCCTGGTATGGGAAGGTGGGGACAGGAGGCAGAGAGGCCATGTGAGTCTGCAGTCATAGTGCTGGCTCCTGCCACAGGGAGAAGGTGGTGGGGCCCCAGGAAGCCCAGTGAGCACCCCCATTTGGCATGGAGACCCAGGAGCAAAAGGGACCTGTCCAGGATGTCTGAGGAGTGGAACCAGCAGAGCTGGCCACACCTTCTTGCATTGCTTCCTGCCTCCTGAGCTCAGACCAGGAGTTCTGAAGCCTCTGTTCTTGCAAGAAACTACTGCTAAAACTGACTTGCTTTGCCAGGGGCAGATCAGTCCTGCTGGCTTCTAACTCACCTCTCATCCCTTTGTGGCTTTGTTCTGAAATGACCTCTGGTCACAGGTCCACCCAGCAAGAGCTGGATGTCCTCCAGAGCAGAACAAACAAAGGAACAACAGAGAGGGGAGGTCACCTTCCCAGGATCACACAGCCGACAGGCCTGGAGGGCAGCTCCGATCAGAGCACTTCCCAGCAGGCTTGGGAGCACCTCAGTGCCCAGGTGGTCCTGAGCGGTGGGATCAGAGCCCAGGGCAATGGGTGCTAGAGCAAGGCCCTTACCTGCCTCCTGCCTCCTGGCCCTGGAGACCCTAGAGCCAAAGTAGGCAGGAGAGGCCTGGGACCTGCGTTGCCTGCATAGCATGTGTGACCATAGGCAGGGGTGCATCCAGCCCTCTCAACACCTCCCTCTCCTTCCACAGAGCAGAGCATTCCCCTGAACATCCTCTATGAAAAGTACCGTGACTGCCTGACCGAGTCCAACCTCATCAAGGTGCGGGGCCTCCTCATTGAGCCAGCAGCCAACAGCTACGTGCTGGCTGAGAGGGACCTCTACCTGGAGAATCCAGAAATCAAGATCCGGGTAAGGACAGCCCCACCCTGCATGCAACTCAAAGCCTTTGGGCCTTGGGTGGGGGTGTTCCCAAATCCTAGGCTCAGCCAGGAAAAGCATCAAGAAGCCAAAAGAATTTAGGGCTTTTAGCCCCTTGGAATGAATCCTAGATTCCCACGTGATGGTGAAGTCATAGAATTTAGCGATCTTAGAAGCATGAATCCTTAGCTGCTGAGCTCCAAGCCTGGACCCCCAGCCCCGTGATGGTGCTGGTGAGGCAGGGAGGGATGGGCGAGTAGAGGCACAGGATCTGGAGTTAGACCACTGGGTATGTGCCTGGGGGACCATGAGCATGTTTCCTCCCCTCTCTGCCTCAGTTTATGCATCTGTACTACAGCATTCATGTGGGCAGGTAGGGGGTTTTAAGGACTGAAAGGGCATGCACAGGAAGCACTTGGAACCACACGCTGCATGTCAGAAGGACGCAGTAAGAGCTGACTGTGCTCAGCCACATCACCAGCATCACAGCCACTGCTGGTAGGTGCCCCAAGCCCAGAACCCCTAGAGCAGCACCTAAATGCTAAACAGCAGAGGGAGAGGCAGTGAGCGCAGCAGGAACTTGTGCATCTCAGCTCATTTCTCCAGTAAGAATCCTGCATCAGCCCAGGCTCAGAGAGGGCCGAACTTCACATGGTGGAGAAAGTGGAGGCCAGCGTGACTCTAAAGCCTGTGATTTGTGTATGCCAACCCCTAGAACAAGGCCAGCATCTTGTACCTGCATTTTGGAAGCCTCAGTATAGTTCCATGGAGGAGCAGGTATGCTCTTGTGCTTTCCAGATGAGGAAGCTGAGGCATAGGGGCAGGGAGTGATAGTGGCAGAGATGAGTGTGCCATTGTTTAGCAAACCCTGAGCCAAAGAGTACCAGGCACAGAGGTGGACCACACTTGACCCACACACTCACCCTGCCCCTTCCCCTGCCCCACACCTTCTCCCAGGTCCTGGGGGAGCCCAAGGTGAACCGCAAGCTGGTGGCCGAGGTGTCCCTGAAGAATCCGCTCCCCGTGGAGCTGCTGGGTTGTATCTTCGTTGTGGAGGGTGCTGGCCTGACCAAGGAGCAGAAGTCCATAGAGGTGTAAGTGCTGGTTGCCCCATTGCAGGCAAGAGGAATGAGAGGGAAGGTGATCAGAAGAGGCAGGGCTGCTCCAGGGGTGAACCCTGGCCTGGAACCCTCATCTCACGTCCCGCATGGAGCCTGCTTCCACTCTCCAGCAACCCAGGCCTCCTGCCAGCCACGAGTTAGCTGCACTCTGTGCACCAGTTTGCACATACCTGGGAGTGACACACTCTGTCACCTAATGCCCACCTGCAAACACATGAGTCTTCACACACTCAGGTGTCCACGCTCCGAGTGGCCACACCTAAACATGCACACACATGGATGTGTGATGTGTCAACAGGTATCCACATGCGTACACACATATGGCCAAACATTTTATCAATTTATTTATTTTATTGCAATACCAGAGGTTCAATCCAAGAAGTACTGAGCTCCATCCCCAGTCATTTTTTGTTTTGAGACAGGGTCTTGCTAAGTTGCCCAGGCTTGAATTTTCAGGCCTTCTTCCCCAGACTCCCACAAGCTGAAGGTGAACTTCGAGCTGGACAAGCTGAAGGTAGTGAAGGACAATCAGAACTCATTCTCTTCCCACCCAATCCTTCCTCCCAGGCCTCCCGTGCCAGCCTCCCAAGTAGCTGTATGTATGTGCTGCCCTGCTGGGCAGGCACATGCTTCATATTTTATTTTATTCTTATTTAGGTACTAGGGATGGAACTCAGGACCTTGCGCTTGCCAGGCAGGTGCTTATGTAGCTGAGCTGTCTCCTGGGCCCATGTGCTTCATATTTTAAAAATTTTTACTGCAGTATATGTAAAGGACACAAATCATGTACATGTAGCTCAAAGTGTTATCACCCACATGGCCACCTGAACTACCATTGCTCTGTGCATAACCCTGAATATGTTCCTTCACACTCTTTTCCTCAGTTTATGCATCTCTGAGATGCATAAACTGGTAGGTAGGGGTGTTTTAAAGACTAACAAGGCACCCACAAGAAGCACCAGAACCACACACAGCATGTCAGAGAGATGCAATAACAGCTGACAGTGCCTAGCAGACTTGCCATCCTGGGTGACAGTCCAGGCCCATTCATTTTTGCTGTCAGTAGCTCCATATGTGTGAGGCCTTGGTAACAAGTCCTTTTGGGTGCTCAGTGGTCACATGTCCCCCATCTCTCCCTCCCCCTCTCTCTGCAGCCCAGACTCTGTGGAAGCAGGCGAGCTAGTGAAGGTGCGGGTAGACCTGCTGCCGACGGAACTAGGCCTCCACAAGCTGGTGGTGAACTTCGAGTGCGACAAGCTGAAGGCAGTGAAGGGCTATCGGAACGTCATCATAGGCCCAGCTTAAAGGAGCCCTGTACCCACCTCAGCCTGCTGGAAGCCCCCAACCAGACCTGGTCTTTATCCCAAGCTAATGGGCAGAATGGGCTGCTTAGGGCAGGGATGGGCTGCATGGGGGCCCTGTGGCACAGAATGTGCTTCCCGCTCATCTTGTCCCACTGAATCGAGTCCCCCACCCTGTGCCAACATGGAATACTCTGTGGCAACATGGTGCCAATTCCGACCTAGGCTGACTGGAGCTGGGGTGGGAGAAGGGATAGTTTCTCTCCCTGCCCAGCCCCAGGCCCTCCTGGAGAGCCACTGGCTACCCAGCTGTTCAGTCTGCTCCATAGCCCCGTGGAGCAGGCCAGCACAGGACAGTGTGCACACTGGCTGGGCCAAGGAGCTCAGCTGCCCAGCGATGTCCTGTACCTCTTGCCTATGGCGCTCAGGCCCCGGCAGCCTTTTTAAGTGCCAAAGCCAGAAGGGGATGGGGAACATCCTGGCAGACATGCCTGCCTGCCTGGTCCAGCTCCCCACCTGCCTATTGTTGGAGCCCTGGCCCAGCAGCCTTCTCCCCACATCTCCACTGGGAAGCGCCTCTGCACCAGGTATCTCCTGTGCTTGCAGTGCTGGAATGTATAGGGCTCCTGGCTGGTTCGCTACCATGAGGGCTGCATCCTGGTGAGGAAGCTGAGGCTCGGAGCGGCCACTGCCCTCTCCACACTGGACTACTGGGGGTGCGTGGCACGTGCACAGCTAGAGTTAGGAAGGCCTGGGTCAGAGACACAGCCTCCTGGCTCAAGGCCAGCACTGCATTTATGACAGCAGCTCTGACCTGAGAATGACCGAGAGGCCATTGGGGGACTGACTGCAAAGGGCCCAGTGGGGGCCAGGAGGTAGGGAAGGAGCTGGTGGGCTTTGGGGGAACTGGGGATCAGAACCCTCCCTGGGTTTGAACTCCAAGTCTTGTCAGATTCTGCCTTTCCTTTTCTGGGCCTCAGTTTCCTCATTAATCCACTGGGTGACTGAAGTGGCACATCTCCAGTGTGCTCTTGCCCCTAAGCCTCTGTGCCTTACATGGCCGGTTTTGTGAATAACCCCTGGGCCCAGGCCGTTTCCAAGAGGGAAGCCTGATCACCAGCCATCCTGCTCCCCACCTGCACCCAGGCCCCTCCCTGCAGATCCGGGTGCTAGGGGAGGAGAACCAGTGCCTGCCCACACAATGTCTAGCCATCACAGGCGCCTCAGCTGCCTGCCTGGTCACTAACCAACAAAGCCAGTGCCCTCATACCCCTCCTGCCCAGCCAGCGCCCTGGCACAGTCCGGCCCCGAGGAAGTGTGGGGAACACGTAGGTTATCATCTCTGAGTCTACCCTTGCATGCTCTCTGTATGACCAGGCCTCCCTCAGGCTGGACAGGATGGGGCAGTCTCTACTGGGGGTGCAGGCACAGCCTCTGGGGCTCCTGAGATCCCAGAGGGGCTTGGGGAAAAATCACATCAGTGCCTTTAAAACTCTCTGCTTTGCACATAGAGAACCACAAGATGAGCTGACCTGGGGGATTTATATAAATACTGCGCTGTTTCTCTGTAGATTTATATATACATTTTCAGGTTTCCAGCAGGCAGTAGTTGTACTTTTGAAGCACAAGGAGCAAACACTGAAATAAAAGAGTTTATTTTTCACATGTAAACAAGCTCTGGTCTTGTGCTTTGTGAGCTTTCTCTTGGGCGGGGGAACACACCTCCCTGCCTTAAACTTCACTGGCATTCAAGCCTCTATAGAGTGCAGCTTCATCTCTAGCCCCTTCCAGCTCCAAAATATGTTGGGCCACAGTGAGCTTCTTGTGCCCCCTGGACACCTGTGCCCTCTTAGCCTCTGTACAGCAGTCCCCTGAGCCTGGAGTGCCCTTCCTCCTACAGGGCCTGCCCTTGCGAGGAGCCCCGCTCTCTGGGAACTCACCTTCCTGTGCTCAGGGAGGGGCCTTGTTAGGGTTAGCCTGGACAACATAAACTTTCCTTCTCTCTAAAAACAAAATGAAAAAAAAAAAAATTTAATAGCCATGTTAAAAAGAAAAAAAAATTAGTTTTAATAATATTTTATTTTATTTTATTTTATTTTATTTTATTTTATTTATTTATTTTTTTTTGTCTTTTTGAGACAGGGTCTTACTCTGCAGTTTGGGCTGGCCTTGAGCTCATTTTGTAGCCCAGTCTGGTCTTGAACTCACAGCAGTCCTCCTCCTCCTGCTTCAGCTTTCCGAGGACTGGGATTACATGTGTGCCCCACCTAGCTCAGCCTTGTTCTTGTAATCAACATAAAAATTGCCAGCGGGATATTTCCCTTTCTTGTTTTCATACTGAGTCTTTGAGGCCCAGTGTGTAATCTACACGGATGCTCATCTCATCGGGATTGGCTCTGTTTCTAGGCTCGATGACCCCGGTGGCTGGGGGCACTCCCATTGGGCAGCGTACGGCCTGACGGTGATCCATGAATACAGAGACTTGGGCTTCATTCATTCCCACCAATGAGGTGGATGAATGTCATCAGATGTGAAGATGTTCAGGAAGAGTCATTCGAAGGAAGTGACAGATACAGATAAAATAAGAACTCTGCCTCTGCCCCACTTTTGCCAGGTGCCAGGCCCTTCTGTCCCCTGAGCACTGCACACTGGCGTGGCCTGAGTGGCTGGAGCTTTGGGTCAATTAACGGGTGGCTGGAAAAATGAAAGCAGCCAGGTATTTCGGGCAGAGTTCATAAGGGAAACAGACTCCTGAGCTGTCGGGAAGGGCGGAAGTGGGGGGGGGGGAGAACTGTGTGACCCATAAACCTGTGTGAAGTCCACAGCTGGCAGCTACCACCCGACCCTGGTGGTGCCACCACAGTGGCCCTGGTGCCAGCACAGCAGCTGGCAAGGCCACAGCCACACTGTCAGCTGCAGCAGAGCCAAAAGCAGGTTGGCCTCTCCCAACTCATCCTGCTCCGCGCTGGCATATCCGCCCCAGAATTCAGCTGCAAAAGGGCTCTGGAAAATGTCACTTTCCGCTTCCAGCTCCCTGGACAACAAGGTGGGCAGGCCAGAGCAGGCGGGGAGCCTTGGTGCTTCCCGCCATTCCTCTTGCTAGAACTTCCCTATTCTCTTCTCCACTCAAGGGGCCACTCAGCCTTCAAAACCTTCTAAGGAGGCTTCCTCTATGAAGCCCTCCTGGATGGCAGCAAAATGGTTCGCCCCCTGGTTCCACTCAGCAGATCTCAGCCCGTTACAGTGCTTGGCAGCCTGGGCTGGGAACAGCTGTTTGTGTGTCTGCCTCATGTTCTGAAGCCCCGAGGGCAGGGGCAGGGGCAGGGCACAGCCCAGCAAGGAGGCCATGGAGGGAACTTGACTGTTGATTTCAGCTCCCACCCATCTGCCTCCTGGGAGAAAGAAGGGGCATGGCCGCCCAGCTGGCCTGATCAAGTCTCTGCCAACCCAGCCCCCAGCCTGCCTTGTTTGCATGTAAAAACAAACCCTGGTATTTCAAGGCCCACTCCTTGTGATTCAAAAGCACATCCGATGCTCGGTTAGAACCCCAAAGCTTTGACAAAATCAAACAGCTCTGTGTTTACACAGAACGTACTGTGTTGCTCATTTTATGTTTCTTGCCAGGGCAGACAGTTCTTGATGCATCCGTGACGCCCACAAATCCTTTGTGTGTTGCCCCCTTACTTGACAGATAAGGAAAACTGAGACACAGAAAGGTGAAGCGATTTGCCCAAGGTCACAGAGCTCCTAGGGTAGGGAGCGGAGCCCCTCCATTCCTCCTGCACTGCCCTCTCCTGCCAGGTCCACTGTGCATGGAGCAGAAGCCTGTGCAGCCTGGCAGCCCTCATGGGGTGGGGCATGGTGGGGTCCACCCTCTGCCCCCCAAAGGCATTTGTCTTCTCCAGTTGCTCGTGTTTACCCAGGATGCCTGCCAGCTCACCCCTCAGCCCCATGCCAAGCCCAGAATAACAACGTTGATGGAGTCCGGGAAGGAGGTGCTAAGGACAGAGGGTTGAGCCTGGCCGTCTAGGAGCGGCCAGGACTGGGGCCGGGCTTTCTCCGCAGGCCTCCCTCTTCTCAGCAGGCCTGGGCAGATGGGCAGAGACACTTACTGAGAGTCCCTGAGGCTGTGTGTTTTGTTTCAAGAGGGCAAAGAAACATCCCTTGAACAAAAAAGTGGCGACAGGTGTCAAAGATTCAGCCTCCACAACAGAAAGCACTGGACCCAGAAACACCAACCTTATGGCCCAAGGTGGGCAAATGGGGTAGACACAAAGGCTGGAGCACTCACAACTCCATCCCCAGGACATTCACGGATGGGCAGCAGTGACCCATGCTACCCAAAGTTGGGATCCTGTGTCCCCTGGGAAATTAAGACGGAGATGCAAAGCAGCTCACCCAGAGTCCCCAGCACACTGAGGGCAGAGCCAGAAGTAGGATCCAGGGAACCATCCTGGGGCATTTGTGGAAGGGCCTGATGCATGCAGGGGACAGCTTGCTTGCCAGACCCAGGAGCCAGGAAGTAGTATCTCTGTTCATTTTCCATTAGCACACCAAGGTCTGGAAAAGACAGGGTCTGAAGGAAGGGTCATGAACATGGAGTTGACTCACAATCCAACAAGTCTGCTTTTGGATTTATACTCAAGAGGAACGAGAGCAAATCCACCCAGAAATCTGTTTGTGAATGTTCACAGCTCACCATTTATAGCTGATGAACAGTGCAAACATGCTAATGACCATCAGTTAATTAATGGATAAATAAAATAGCCACACAATGGAATATTACTCAGTAATGACAAGGAATGAAGTCCCAATACATGCCACGTGATACTTGAAAATGTAAGTGAAAGAAGCCAAAAGCAAAGGTCATGTGTTTGATTTCAATTATAAGAGATGTCTTGAATATGCAAATCTAGAGAGA